AAAAAAAAACTAAACATCACAACTTACAAGGCGTTGAGTGGACGTGGTGTTATTATTTTGACCAACTAACGAAAATGCAAAACCCTAGCTAACCTGAGTCACATAAGGCAAAAAAACTAACCAATGTGATGCTAATGAGGGAAAAAGAGAATGAAGAGTTGCGCAGCTGTTCTGATCTGGCGTTTTCTTTAAGATTGTGTAACACGTAGATTCGGGTCATGCCAGACATGAAAATAAAGAAAAAAATGTGAAAATAAGTAGGAAAGTAACAAATAAAGATTTTTTTACGAAAAGGGCTGGATTGGGCCGGGTCGCGCGATAAAAAAAACATTTTCATTTTTAATCAATGCTATCGAGATTTACATGTGGCGAGATTTCATTGATGTACATATCTCTAGGTTAGAGTCCAGACTGAATTTTTTTTTTTTTTGCGTGCCCTAGCCTGTTGCGCCGACCTCCCTCGCGTCCCATCGCTCTCACCCGAAAGTCGTCCTCACTGCAGAAGCTCCTTGTTTGTGAACACTCCACCGCCTCCTCTCCTTTAATTTGAGGCCATCCCCGAGTTTCTCTCCTTCGCATGCCCTAGCCGAGAAGCCCGAACTCCTTAGCGTGCCCTAGATTTTTTTGAGTCGTCCTTTGTTTGAAGCCCTTGCTAGCCGTCGTTTCTTATCGTTGTTTTACTGTAGCATACCCTAGCTCTCTCTCATTGGCCTCTTTCCCCGATCGAGCTCTCTCACCGGCTCTCCTTTCTACTGGCTAAGCCTCCTCCACTGGCAAAGCTGTTGTCGCCAAGAGTTCCTGTTGTCGCCTCTTTTGTGCACAGGATTTCAGGCAGAGAAACTTCATCAGAGTGCCTCAATGTTGAAGAACACTTATGGTACTATAGCATGGAAAAGCATGGACCAACGTCTTCACTCTTTTTGAGGAGATCTTCTTCCAAGACTTCGCTGGACGACGAGCAAGCAACATGATGGAATAACCTCATCGGAATCTCTGTCTTTCCTTCATTTGCTGGCCTCAGGTTTTAGTTGTGGTAAGCGTGTGATTTTGATCACTCACAAAGGGTGTATGCACCGACTGACATTAGTTGGTGCGATCGTTTGTTTTTCTGAAGAAGAGCTTAGGGTAGGATGCTCGTGTGTGGCCTAACCCTTCGTAGAGCCGAGAGTTTCCTCTTGTTGTGAATTCTAGCATAAATCCCAGTGGGCTGGCATCCTTCCGGATTACTGAAATTCATAATCAAAATTCTTAGTTTAATCGATCAAACTAATTGTTGTAGTCTAATTGCTAAAACAATGGATTCACACCCCCTATACTAAATTTTAAATGGAGTTGAAATTTAACCAGTAAAAAATGATCCTTCATTCATCTATAAAAGAGAGCGCCACATTTATTCATTTAAATTATTATTTAAATGTATAAGGGACTGTACATCTTAATAAAAAGAATCAAAATCTATAACTTTCAATCATATTCCTACTTTAGCTTCTACATAATTATTAATTTTAACTTTTTAAATTTTATTTATATCATTATTTATATTAGAAAGGTACTCATAGTTAATTTGCATATATATATA